GTTTGTATGCGGTGCTGAGGATCGAACCTGGGCCGCATGCATGCCAGGCGAGCGTGCTACGGCTTGAGCCACATCCTCAGCCCCAGAAACAATTCTTAAAAGGATAATTAAATCTGGCACTAAAAATTTACTTTAGTTGATATATTGTCCAAAATCCATGTTGCTCTTTGCAAAACTGATTTTTCCCATGCAGATATTTTCATTCTTTGAATAATGAATCAAATGGCAATAATTTGCCTGAAATAACATTAGATATTCAGTGAGTTGAAGGAAATCAAAAAAAGGCTAAAAGATTTTTTAAAAAATCTCTCCAATGTACTGTAATAGTTACTCACACGTATTATTATCAATTAGTTGTAGATCTCACATGGGGGTCATAGTGAGCATGAATGGAGGTGAGTATTTGAGGGTGAAAGATTAGAGAGCTCTTATCTTTAAGTCATTAGACTCCTGTGTCCAACTAAGACTCACTGTTTGCTACATTTAGGAGTTTTTCAGCATGTACACGTCTTCTAAGTAAGAAATGGAAACTAGCCTGTTGTTTAATCATTTGACCTTTTCTATGGTCATCTTAACAAAATCTATAACAGTCACCTCTCAGTATCCACAGGGGATTGGTTCCAGAGCCTCCGAGAATACCAAGATCCATGGATATTCAAGTCCCTCATATAAAATGGAGGAGTATTTGCATATATCTAAATTCATCCTCTCACATACCCTAAATCATCTCTAACAATGTACATGCTATGGAAGTCATTGTTATACCATATTGCTTAGGGAATAATGACCAAAAAAGTGTGCATACAGTTAGTATAGATACAATTTTATTTTAATGTTTTGACCCATGGTTGGTTTAATCCATAGATACAAACACATGACTAGGGAGACTATATTTCCATCTTGAATATGACAATGATTAGATAAAATTTCCAGGATCTCAATTTAGAGCCCTAAATTAGAAGGTAGAAAATTCCTATTCATATCCTAATTTTTTCTTAAAATATACATGCATGGAGGTAAGAAATATAACCTCTTACTCTTACTTCCATCTTCTGTAAAATGAATAGCTCAGATTAGATTTATTTTGAAGAAACCAACCCCACCAGCTCTAAAATATTCTGTAACACTAAGCAAGATAAAACAATGAACTAATTTAATTATGGCCTCTTAGCATAACTAACTTGCTCTATCAGGAGAGCTCTCCTGAAATACATTATTTTTCTCCACTTCTGGCTTGAATATATTATGTGTTCTATCATGACTACATAATGGATAGTCCTGAATGCCTTCAATTAAATATATTTAAATTCCCCAAAGCATGCAGTCATCTTGATTAAAATATCAACAGTTTATTACAGATGGAGTACTTCCAAAGGAGGGTAATATTCCTCAGATAGCAGGTGTCCCTGTATTTTATTCAAATGGCTAGCTGAAAAGATGCAAAGATCTTTTGTTTCTTGATGAGGCTAGATAGACTTTTAACTAAAAAAATAAACTGTCAAACACAAAGCAAATTTTAAAATTCCTCAAAAATTATTTTGGTATGCTCACATCTGCATGTTATTTGTCCTTATTTAACCCCATCAGAAATCAGGTAACTAGAAAAATAAGTAAAATTCTGGGAGTAAGATTAAATATATTTCTAAACCAAGTTAACTTTTGTGCTGTGGAACCCTTCTTCTATTCCAAAATACTTGTTTTATTTTTATTTTAAATCTTCAGTGGCCTGAAAAGTAATGCATTTAAATTAAATGAGAAATGTAATACTGAATGTGGATGAGTTCAAACGTAGGTAAAAATAAAAACTTATCAAAAGTGAACATAGTTATATTAAAAATAAATTCTTCCTGAATCCAGAAAAGGCTGCTATCTACTTATTCCAGATAAACAACATTTAAACATCATCCACTGAGAGACAGAAACCAAACTGATTGTGTGGCATTTCAATCTTAACTTCAGAACACTTGAGTTAAAGTCCTAGCTCACACACTTACTTTTGAACTTAGACTTACTACTTAACCTTGATTAGCCTCACTTAGCTGACCCATAAAATGAAGATTAACCACTTCCCATTGACTCCCATTCATAAAGGATTTGGGTTGGCATAAGCAACTAGTGAGGAAAAACTAACCTGTTTAATTATCTGATGTCATAAAACCTTAACTGTATTTTAAAAATTTGTTCTTACTCTTGAAAACATTTCAAAGTACCGTATTATTTTCCCCATTTATAATTAAAGCATACATCAAAGGAAAGAAAAACAATATCAGTTTCTCCATACAAATATTACATTGTTTCAATTGCATCTCTTTAATAAAAAGTATCTGTCATTTGACTGACAGCAAGAAATACAGGAGGAAAAATATAAAATATGCAACCTGTAAAATAGTGCTGATTTTCACTAAATGTTCTCTAAAGAAATGGCTTTTTGGTTCTGAGGTTTTCCTGATTCACTCATTATTACTGGAATAGTATAAGTAGCATATCTCTCCATTCTAAGAATAATATTTATTTCATTTTTCTAGAGAATTACTGAAGGCACTACATATAAGTCTCAGTAAAATACAATCTCCATTTCATTGTTAGAGTGTGGACTTGGATATGGAGGTGAGGAAGTAAGCATGTGAGTTTTGTGTGCACACGCACCTAAATTCAAATTCCCACTCTGTCACTAACAGAGTGAGTCATCAGGTCCTTAGGTTATTTCTGGGAGATTCCATTAGTCCTTTATTAAAATGGGACTCACATTAACTCAGAGGGTTGTGCCAAGATTGAAATGAAACAATATGGGTCTGATGTTCAATAAATGGTATCTGCTACTATGTATAATTGCTGTGATCTGTAATCAAGACCACCCCATATTAATTATGCTACCATTAAATTGTTGTTCAATTGCTGCATGCCTTTATGTCTACTTGCATGCATATATTTAAGATTTTTGATTACAAATTCTTCAAATCAGACTCGAAGACCATGCATATAATACATCATAGCCATTCCATGACAGGCAACTCTTAACAAGGGCCTCTAGAAGGCACCACCTTGTTGCTTCATTGAGCAAAGACCTGAGAAGGAAGGCAAAAACTAAAACTTCAGTGGCCCTGCTCTCAAGATTTTGCAATTCATTTGTTTAAATAGAATGATTTACCAACCATTGAGCTGTAATCATTCCCAGAGCTATGGGGAATGCTTTGAAAATGAAAGATCATGGTAGTAGACAAAAGGTGGTCAAGGAAGATTTTGAAAGAGGCTAAATGTTCCAGACTGTGCTGGACTTGGTGTGGGGCTAACACAGAAAGGGACCATCCTGATAAGCAGGGAACATTGAGACAGAGGGAGCATACCCATAAACTGGAAATATGTTCAAAGATGAAGAGTAAAGCAGAATTCCTGCCCCTGTTGGATTTGTCCTATGGATAAGATACTTTCAAACTCAAGAGCAAGGTAAAATCCAATATGGGGTTCCACACAGAAAGAAGCCTCTGTAATGATGATTAAAAATAGGTATCATGTTACCAAAATAAAATGATTTTCCTAAAACTCATGGCTATAAATTCAGTGCATGTAATGGAAGATTTTTGTCCTTCACAATCCATGTGATTATATGAGTGTAAACATAACTGATTGATTGATTTTGCTGTGCTGAGGATAAAAACCTGGACCTCGTCCATACTAGGCAACCATTCTGTCATGGAGCCACACCCCAGCTCCAAAATATGCATATACGTTGAAAATAAGCATATGTTCTTTTATGTGTGTTGAAAAACATAGTTGAATTTTCACAGAAATCAGTCAGAGGAAACATAGGAGTTCTACGTGCCTTGATATTAATATCTCAAAATGGCTTAATTTCTATATTTTATACTAATATAAAGTTTGTTCCTAAATTGTAAGACTGTTGAAAAGCAAATATGAAGGAAGCAAATGATAGAATCAAACTCCACAGAGCACTACCAAATCCCCCACACACACAGTGCATGCCACGTAACCAAGTATCACATTTAGAAGAAAGCTGATGAAATTCTCCTGCGAGAATGTGAAGTTTTATGTTTTAGTAAGTTTCCATATTGAAGCCATAAGAATAAGTTGCTGTGATTATTTGCTGTGTGTGTCTTACTTGGCTGGCTTTTCTGCATAGCTCTAGAAGAGTCCTAGGTTATAAAGTCAGTTCAGGTTTCAATAAAACATGAACTATGCACCTGTGAGCTATTCAGATACATGAACAGACATGATTCTTTGGCATTTGGGTCAGGCCACTGCCATCAGTGTTGGGGCACTTCACCTTAATCTCATGTGTGACAAAATAGCAGTGGCCACTACAGTATGTTTTAAAATAAGGTTTGTTGCAATTCCAACTAGATTCTTGAAATAAATGCATAGACCCATATACCTGGATTTTGTTGCTGTTTTAACTTGTTTAAAGAGTAAAGGTATTTGAACCAGGTCTCATTAATATTAATATTGACTGTTATTTTGTTCCCCGAACACGGTCACTTTGTTATACTAAATTAAAGCTCTGACGGAAACATCCAATTAATCCTCAGTAAGAAAATGCATTAGTGTGTCACAGTTAATAAGCAGTTCAATGTAATCATACCTTGATTATTCTGAGCCATTCAGCCTTTGCACAGTGTGCTTAGAACCAGAATGGCTATTATTAGTTCCCTTAATGATTACTCATGGAGGAGAAAAAAAAACGTTTAGTTGCTCTCCTATCAGATAGACAAATAATCTTTTTTTTTTTTTTTGGAAAAAAAATATAGGGAAGGAAACTTAATAGAAAGAAAGGTTAATTATTAGCACAAAGGGAATCTCTTGGATTCACAAGGCATGATGATGAACTCAAAGCTGGTTCCCATGCCCCAGTCTACCAAACCTCAGAGCATCTGGGCCACAGGAGTAGCTTTTGGAGATGAAAGGATGCTTATTCCCTCCCTCGGGCTATGTGCTGCCTTCAGGAACCTCACCAAACTCAGAGGCTTCTCCAGTTGAGATCCTACCTTAATGAGAACCTGAATGGACCCCGTGGCTTTTGCAGATATGAAATACCAGAAGCTCATGGTGCAGGCACTGCTGGATTCTTGCCATACAGCACTCTTGAAGTGGGCTTTGTCACCCCGAAGTCCCACTGGAGTAGCCTCCAGATACATGAAGTGCCCTAGAAACAAGGATAGGATTCACATAGGATGGAAATAACAATGAGGGGATTATTTTAGTTTCTCCATCTTAGTTAGGGTTTTTAATTACATTTCATAAGATCTGAGCTGCCAATAGCATTTCCATTTGAAACAGAGAATAAATCTAATGGCCTTGTCCCTCGCTCACTGACAGGACAATTTCCAACTGTCTGTGCTTTTAGTGAAGTGCCTCACAGTATGCAGATTAACTGATCTGACAGGATATTTATGCCATCAGATCAACAAGACAGTTATAGAAATCGTTTAATGGACTCCTTCAGCTATCCAGTTATTATAAAACAGTGCCACAGTTCCCTGTGAAATCTAAATAAGGGAATATCATGCACTTTCAAACATTCAGTCACTTGATCAGTGTGTAAATAAAAAACTGAGAATTTTGATATGCAAAATGAGAGGAAAGGGATTAAATTTATTCTTGTGTATTAAACAAAATTTCATGTATGGAGAACTGAGTGTTTGAATGGGATTTACGTCTTCTATGCTCTGACTTGGTAAGCCTGGCTTAGTTGATTTTTTAAAACAGACCTATGGAATACCAATATTTAAACATCTTTTCACAATTTTGTGGCATCCCCTAGTTTGGGATTTGGCTCATGTTGTTTGCTCCTTGAGCAACAAGACTGAGATTTATTTCAAAAATAATCCGCACCCAACATTCTTAACATACGTGGCTTTGTAGTTACATTTTCACAGTCTCTCGACAGGTTGCAAAGACCTTTCTCCTTATATACATCATCTCACGTGATCTGCACAACCTTTGCTAGCTACACAGTGAAAAATTCATGAACTCCAAATGAAGACTCTGAGATTCTGAAAACTAAGTGACTTGCTGATGATCAAATGAGTGTCAGAATTCAGGGTTATTTTCGACAAGTGCCTGCCATTTAGGAGTGATATCTAATGATAGCCTAGCTTATCACCTAACTATCTATCAAAACAGCGATCGATATTAGATTTTGGCAATTCACTGTTGTGGGTAAAATTGTAACTCCCATCCCATTGCTAAGCCCTAACCCTAGTCCTCATAAAGAGAAATGGGATCTTTGCTGATGATGAAGTAAAGATGAGGCTATCAGGGTAGACCCTAATCTAATATGATTGCACGGTAATAACAAGGAGGAATTGGGGCAGAGAAAAACACATACATCAAATGAAAACACAGAAGCAACCGTCATTTATAAGCAAGGAACATTTAAAGCTGTCAGAGTCAAGGAGAGAGATATGGAGGAAATGATTCTCCCTGAGAACCTTCAGATAGCTTGATCTTGGGCTTCCAGCTCTCAGCAATGTGAGACAATAAATGCCTCTCGTTTAAGACACCCAGTTTCATGGCCATTCCCTATTTCACAGTGGCCACAGGAAACAAAAGCACTGGCAAGTGTCACTGTGATTGTCTTGCTCTCAGGTAAGACAGGAGATGTACCCTGTAGATATGATCGGGGCAACCTTAACAACCTAATCACCTACCATTTTCATTTCCAAGTGTGTGGTCTTTGGGAGGTCGGAGACTTTGATGAGAGCCAATCCCCAAAACCCAATCAAAGTTTTCAGCCAGGGAGTTCTGCCAGCCACACCAGCCTCTTTCAAAAGTACAAGAGCCACCACATTCATTCTCATCAGTATTATCTCCACAATCATCGGCAAAATCACAGTTTTGCTCTGCTCTGTAGCATTTACCATTCCGACATTCCCGATAGCCATATGGGCAGTAACCTAAAAAGAGAAAAATGGAAAAAGAGTAATGGAATACTCCAGGCACATTCAAGTGAGGTACAAGACAAAGTAGTGTCATTATAATATATGAATATGGTGTTTTTAAGAATTCAAGGTACCTGACCCCGCTTCTCTCTCTCTTCTAATCTGCTCCAGAGTTTTGGCCTAAAGATTACTCACAAGGATCATTTACAAGTGAAAAAGTTTTTGAAGTATCACTTTATCGATCCAGGAAAATACCCCAAAACTCCCAAAGCTGCATTTAAAAATATTAATTATATCTGAAAGTCAAAGTTAAACCTTCCATTTTTAACCCTGAAACAAAATCTTTAAGGTGCTAAAGAGCTCATGCATTATGGGGAATTTGGAAGTACATTCTAGCATCCATTCACATCAATATTTCTCAGAAGCCAAACATATACAAGATACATCCTCAGAAGCAGCACCATGAATATATAGCTAATACACGACTTCCAACAGATTTTTCTTTAAAATGCATATTTATTGGTCAGCTGTTTGGAATTTTAGAAGCAATTTCCCTGCAAAGCAATGCCAGCCATAGATACCTCTTAACAAAAATGTAACAGAAAGAATCATGCTTTTGAAGACTGAGTTTGAACTCTAATGCTGATATTTATTAGTTACATGACTTGGTTCATACTGGTACTTGATGAACTTTAGTTTCCTTGTCTAATAAGAGAGACAGAAGGAAAGAGAGAAGCAAAATCCTAGAGAAGTTGAGCTAACTAAAGAGACTACTATCTATGAGATCAGTGCCTAGAATGTTGACTGGACCATACATAGTGGGTGATAAATAAATGAATGAGTGAAATAAAGTGCTTTGAGTAAGAGCAGTTCAACACGAACTTTCAAGGTATTGTGATTATACTGTTCTAATATTACAATAGAACATAACCATGACGAAGAGCAACATTTCAGAAGGAAAGGTTCAGAAACTTTTCCAACTTGAGATTTTAGCTACACATTTGATCTCTGTAAGCACAGAATCAGAAATGTTCTTCCTGTTTTCCCCACCAGGAAGGGAGAGGAGCTGATAATACCACTCCTTGATTTACTTCTAAAGTGGTGACTCCCAGGACTAGAGGCAAGTTGCCTGGTGATTGACAGCTGGTGTGGTTCAGAGGTGGTAACATTTCAGGGGTTTATTTTAGGATGGTCTGGGAAGTTCTCTGGTAAAACCTCTGCTATAATTTGGATCTGAAATCTGCTCTAGAGGCCCATGCTTTGGAGGCTTGTTCCCAGGATTGTGCTATTGGAAGGTGGTGAAAACTTTCAGAGTCAGGATACAGTGGGAGGTCTTTATATCACAGAAGGCATGACTTTAATAGAGACAGTGGAACTTTGGTCCCTCCCTCCACCTCCCTTCTTCCCTTCCTCCCTTCCTCTCTTCCCTCCTCTTTCACATTGTGTACTTTTCCTACACCACTCCATTCTGCTATAAGATACTACCTCACCTTAGGCCTTAAAGCAAAGGGACCAATCAATCATGGACTGAAACCTCTAAAACTTCGAGACAAAATAAACCATTCCTCTTTATAAGTTGATTATCTCAGGTATTTGTTGTAGTCGCAGAAAGCTGACTAACACAACCTCATACAGAAGTTCTTCTGTCCTGAATCAGCCTCAAATTTTCAACAACAGATGGCCAAGAGGAAAGAAGTAGAAGAGTAGTGGAGTTTCATATAGAAACTGCTGGAAAGAAAATGTGTTCTACTCCTTGAATTTCCTAGACTGCTTATTAATTGCATGATTAAATGGTCTTTCCTCTTGCAAATACTTTGAAAATAAGTTTCAACTCTGCATTCTCTAACAAAACTTTTTCTGTCTGGGTTAATTGCTAATATTATCCTTTTAGCAGTATGGGATTAAACTTTTTATTTAGATGCATGGTTCATTTTAGTAGATTGAAGGTAAGACAAAAAGACTTCTAATGCTTCAATTACACTCTTGACTTAGAATCCTAACATTAAAGCATTTTCAACCTACACAGAAATGGAAATCATTTACATCAACTCTCTCATTTGTAAATGAGAAAACTCAGCATTTTATAAGGTAAATGACTCCTGGATTTTTCCAAAGTAGAACTGTGACTGAGAACCAGGTCTCTTATCTTCTGACTTGATATTCAAAGCCATTGATTTAAAAAAAAAAAAAAGGTGTAAAGGTGGGGTTGGCCACCAGTTGCATCATTTCTAAAGGAACTGTTAAGAACCTCAAAAACATTACTAGATCATTTAATTTTATACAAGTTGGCATTTTTATTGATTCTGTCAATTTCAATTTGTTTGAAGATACAAAACAAAACTGACTCTTATGATGCTTTTCTCTAAAGTGACTGAATTAAGCCACAACCAGTTCTTCCAAAATCAAAAAGAAAAAAATTTGGACATGTTTTTAAAAGAAATATATCACGAATTCTGACATAAGACACAAGTCAATACACCTAATATCTTAGGATAGTAAACAAGTTTTACACTTTAAGAGCAAAAATAGTTACATGAGTAAAACATATAATAATTTAAATACTACAGAAATCTAAATTTGAACATGTTCTCTACATTAATAAAAAATCACTTCTGTCATAAAATAACAAACAATAATAATTTGGGGTAGATGCCAAAGGAAATTATCAAATTATATTTTTACCTGCTTACAAATTATTTTTCATGACTTTGTTAAAGAGAGACAGAGAAAGAGAGAAAGAGAGAGAGAGAGAGAGAGAGAGAGAGAGACGCCAACTAAGAGTAGGGCATCTATCTTTAAGTGATTCTGTTATTAAAATTCTTATGAAATTGTGCAGTTTTGATTTTTTTAATTGCTTATGTTAGGCAGAGACCACTTTGTTATAATTTGTTCTCTTTTATAAACTGAAATTTCCTACCAATGCGTAAATTTATATCAATGTATATAAGTTTATAGATACATTGACATAAATTTATATATACATTGATATAAATTTATATAAATTTATATTTATATAATTTATACAATTATATAAACCGAAATGTATATCAATGTATATCGTAAAGTCATCTGAAACAACAGACTTAATCTAAACACTGATTCTTCCTTCCCAAACTTTAACATTCTTCATCATCTCTGGGAATGGCAACTTTGTATTTTGAGCAACTTAGAGAAAAAAAAATCTTGTAAGGAACATTGTGCAGAAATGAACCTTGTTTTTTTAATTAATTAATTACTTTTTGCTGTTTGACTTAACTGCTGACATACTCTAAGTTTTACCCTTTTTCTCCCCCTTTGTGCCTCAGGTATGGCAAATCAGATTAGAATTTCTAAGAGCTATCTACTTTAGAAGCAAGTTCAAACCCATTATCCCCCCACCTATAAGGAGAAACTTTCACCCCAGTCTACCCCACCATAAAACTCTTAGCCAGCTCCTCTCTTCTATCTCAGCTCAAGTTATTTTGGGTCATGTTTGATAATAATCTTACTCTCCCCTAAATTCCCATTTTAAAACATTTCAAGTCTTCTTGGAGTGTATATGATGTTATCAATTTCAACATCCAACCAAATTTTGGATGTGAGCTCAGTTCACATCTGTTGATGACCACAAAGCCCTAGAAAATAAAGTTATCATATGTAAACTTTTAAAATCTCACAAGTTACATGTAATCTTTAGCAAATTCTGTCGATTGTCAACCCTACCATTAGAATACATCTACTGCTATATTTTCGTCAAGGCCATTATTTTGTTTTGTATGATTCTATTACCCTGCTTTCCTAGCAGATCTCTGTGCCCTTAACCTCATGCTCTGTGGCCCATTAATTAATAAAGAAGCACATCTGCCTGATACCCTACAATGTTTACATAGGATCCCTCCTTATAAAGAACAAAGTCTTCTTGAAAAGATGGTCACTTTTGTGCTGAGGGGAAAAAAAAAAGTCCAAGATGAGCCTAGGGTGGGGGTGGGGGAGGAGTACCCAGGCCCAAAATTAAGAAAATGCAAAAAAAAAATAGATTTAGGATAAAAAAAAATATTTGAAGAGCTGGCATCTGGGGGAGCTTACTAGCCAAAGAAAAGACAGAAAACCATACAAATAATGAGGTAACTTCTGTTTCCAGCTGTGAGGGAGTAAGATGGTATGAAATTATCCTCCAGGCAAAAGCAACTGAAACCTGGGGCAAAATACATTAAACAATTGTTTTCCAACAATGAACAACAGGAAGCACAGGACTGTGATCCCCTAGAGAAAGGACTCAAAACCAGAGCCTATCATCACCCCAGGCATTTGCTTAGAGGCACTTTCCAGATTGAAGATCTAAAAGAGAAAGCCAAGAATAAAACAGTTTTTAGCAAATAGAGGAGACAGAGACTGGGACAGCTTGAATTTACAAGGCAGGGTGGTAGAGAAAAAGGAGCT